GCCACTCTGGTAGCCTACTTTTTAAACTTTCTTTTTTTTTTTTTTTTTTGGCTGGGCCCTTCGCTTGTGCTTGCATGGCCTGGCCGCCTGGAGGGAGATCCCACTACGCACGTGAGTGGAGTAGTGGACACGGTGTGCGACCCCAATGCACCGCAGATCGGGACGGCAATCAGCAGTGTGTGTTTTTTCGTATGTAAGGGGATGGGTATATATGTATTTCCGTGGTGCCCTATTGGTCGGTCTTGCTTCTTTTTTTGTTTCGAAGGTCCTAGAGGGGTCCCCGATGTGAGTGAAAATCATGACGTTTTTTTTTTCGTTCTGATTTTCACGTACCTTCCACTTACCTTTTGGAGGGCGCCCTCGCAGGAAAGAAAGGCCAACCGCTAAAAGTTTCGGCCTTTGCCATTATGACGTGATGTCAGTTCGTGTCAGACTGTGTGCGAATGCTGTCTGCAGTTGAAGCAGTGGTGCTTATTGGTCGGCTGGGGCGCCCGTCACTCGGACGCCCTTGGTTACCACGATTTTTTAAAAGTTTTATGTTCACGGACAGGATGCCACACGATGTAGCCTGCAGGTCGCGCACCCATCACACTACACCACATACCTCGATAGTGGGAATCTCCCTCCTGGGGTCTGGTCCCACCTACAGCGTTGAGTTTTCTCAACGCTGCGCTTTCTATCACGTGTGAGTGGCATGGTGGGATGGAGCTCTGCTGTTGATGTATTGCGATCTAATGGTACCGAAATACAGGAGAATAATGTATTAGATTTTGTCTTTTTGTAGATTTTTTCTTTGACGCGAAATCCGTGAAATCCGTTTTTAATAGTCAAACTTTGTTTCAACCAAGTGCTTTCTCTTCGACCCTTCATGATAGCGCAGGACCTACCTGTATTTTGTACTTTGCGAGCCTCCAGGCACAAAGTGCAGCAATTCGGACATCTCCGCCGAGTATGCTTCGACCCTTTTGGTTTGGGCGGGAAACCATTTCCCATTGAGAAAACTACCCTACCGAGGGTAGGGTACGTTTCTCAACCGCAGTGCCTTTCTTTTTTTTTGTTTTTTCAGACATCATTACATCCTGAAACGGAGGAACTCTGGCAGCTGCGTTTGGCTCTCTGGCATGAAGCTCCTTTCCTTCTTTGGGCAATGAATGCATTTGGCCATCCACGTTGTCCCTGTCCATTTTACAAATGGTGACCTCCTGTCCCCTCACCACGGTGAGTATCCCTTTTTCACGGAGACATCTCCCTTTTTCACGGAGACATTCACTCCGACTGTTCCAGACATGTTTCATTTCTCCGAGTTGCCTTATCAAAAATAAGGAGAGAGTATCCCTTTTTCACGGAGACATTCACTCCGACTGTTCCAGACATGTTTCATTTCTCCGAGTTGCGTTATCAAAAATAAGGAGAAAAGCTGTTTCTAGCTGTTTCCTGGGCGGCCCAGCTGGTAGCCCAGGTTTTAACCGGAAAAAAAAAAGAAAACAAACAAACAAACAAACAAACAAACAAACTGCACCATCTCTTCAGTACACATTGGTCTTCCATTAATGAACCCAAAAAAAAAAAATAATAATAATAAAAAATCTCAATTCCCACCTTGATGTAGGCATGCACGTTTTTCAGATCTTCCGGAATGCTCCATCCCCTGTAGTGCTTCAGCGCAATGCGCAAGTGATAGAGTTTTGGGACCAAACTCATATCAGCGGACGAGATTTTGTCTCCATTTACAAACGGACCCTGCACCCAAACAGGCAAAGAAAAGGGTTTATACTAGCTTTATAATAGTTTATAAACTTTATAATAGTTTATATATAGTACAAACACTATTATACAGTCTACAACTCTCACACCACACCACACCACACCACACCACACCACACCAAACCACACCACACCAAACCACACCAACCCAACCCACCCCACCCCAACCCCACCCCAACCCCACCCCACACCAACCCCACCCCACCCCACCCCACCCCACCCCACCGGGTAGACAAGTGGTGTTCGGATGTTGGGTAGCGATGTCCTGTAGTACTGGAGAAGAGTAAGTGAGTGAGGACTGCAGAAATTTGGTGGATCTGACAGCTCTCCAACTGCTCTAGAAATTTTCTGTGAGACGGAAGTAGCGGAGCGAGACCCACTGTTACAAAGAGATGCTGGTTGAACCAAATGCAGAAAACGACAAGAAGCAGGGAGCTGTGTGCTTAGTTGATCGAGCATCGGGCTTTTAACCTAAAATGGTCGCAGGTTCAAATCCTGTTATACCCATAAGGCCACGAAGCGGGGTAGACATGCCTATACTCCTTTCAGGCAACAAACTTGTATACCTATGCTATGGCGAAATTGGTTTACGCACCACACTTGGGATGTGGGGGCGCTTCGCGCCTTGTGGGTTCGAGTCCGGCTGGTTAAACTCCAATGAAACACTGTCACAACCGCCCGTCTCTTGTCCTTGTCTCTTTCAGCTGTTGAGCGCGGCCCAATAAAAATTTCGCCTGGCCCATCTCTTGGGGGGGGGGGGGGRGCACTTCGATTCAGCCACTCCCCCCGGCCATTATAGCTGTGGTTGGGGCAACTTTCAGTCTAGATACAGGGATAATCACCCCGACAGGACACGTTGTCATATTAATAGCTCTTTTTGGGAGAAGACAATAGCAGTTCCTGACGCGAACAAGGTTTCATCCACCCTGCCCAAGTCAGAATTGCAGGCCGTGATCACCACCGGACTCCTCTACAACAGAACCAGGTTGGGATCTCGACCAACCTAGTTCTTCCTGCCAGGGCCCAGGAGGCAATTTCCCTGAAGTTCTTGCACCGTGCCGTTTGCGATTTCAGACAGTAACCTATGACCACACACCCACGAGTTTGTCGTCTGAATCTGGCCTGTCGATGAAGGCGGATATGTTCATGAAGCTATTAAGCGTGTGTATGCGCTAAATTTGGCATCAAGAAATCTATAAGATGCCATTTTTCCCATGACAGCTTCTAGCCCAATTGAATTAATCACAGCCGATAAGGGAGGACGAGCAGGAGGATGTCTCATAGTGGTGGCAGTAGTATTAGTAGTAGTCGTAGTCGCCATCGTCGTCGTCGTCGTACTAGTAGTAGTAGTAGTAGTAGTAGTAGTAGTAGTAGTAGTAGTAGTAACATGTTATTATTATTATTTTCTCTTCAATCATTCCATCCGCCAGGGAAAAAAAGGAAAAGAAAGAGAAAGAAAAAGAAAAAAAAAAGGGG